GACATTGCACCCGGTGGAATATGCATGCTGATGCTAAAAGATTGGGTCTAGCGGGGGTAGATTACCTCACTAAGGCCTTCGACCTATCAACAGCCACTCTCAACATTTCCGACGTAATGAAATCGGGGAAGCTGGCCAAGAAAGACGAGCCTTATGGCCTATTGCAACCGGATAATTCATGGCATGAACCGAAACCGCCCTCTGAGAGAACAGGTCCTGGTAGTGTTGGATCTATCAAAGGCGTTTGACACCGTCTGAGTGGTCGACACTCGTCAGTACGGAAAATTTAAAAGGGGGTACCACAGGGTGGTTTCCTTTCGCCACTTCTATTTAATTGTTTGTATATATCAAAGCTCCCTCAACCATCAGAGAGAGTATCTATCATCTCTTACCCTGACGACTGCTCAATCATGGCGTCCGGTAGTAGAATTGATATGACCAGTGCTCCAAAAGTAAACTGTTGCCTATCCGAACGTTCTCGCAACCATTTTTACCACCTGGACGAAAGAGATCAGCTGGGTCAGCATATGTATGAAAAAATTTGTTGCCAAGTTTTACTTTGACTAGCTACTGTTTAGATTGAAATTGTAATAAAGGATAGCTTTACAATATTCAAAATTTACCACCGTAAAAATACTGTCAGTATTAATTGTATTAATTATATATAGTGGCTGGTGGTCATTTGAATAGCTTACCCTTGTGAAATTTTGATGAGAATTTATTGAATAACATACTCCTCTTATACATTTTTGTATGAAGTTTGAAAGTCGGATTACATGGTTTTTGTTAAGAAATATGCAATATTTTTATTTAAAAAAATTAATAAACAATATATAACCAAAGGAAAGCCGTCCATACTGATTATCAAAAGGGGGCACTATTCAAGTGACCGGTACTGTACATGCTTATATGAAAGGTGAAAAGGCTATAGGCTTGATGCAAACAAGAAAACCACGCCTATTATTGAATTTTGAAAAGCGAACGTTCACCAATGAAAATTTTCAAAAAAATAATAGAAGTTTTGCAGCACTAAGTTTCTAATTTTTTTTTTATGTAATTTTTTTTTTATTCGTGCAATGGTTTAAACTGTTGTATCTTTGCTGTTCTTTGGGCGATATTTTAGGTATATTTATGTATGTACGTATTTCTATAATGTAAAGTACTTCAAATTGCTATAAGTTTATATTATATTTAATAATTATGAATTAATGAAAAAGTATGTATGCATGTATTTTTTTTTTATTTTGTTGTTGTTGTTTTATTAACTTAGCATTTGCTTTGTTGATTGCGTTGATAGTTTCAACATATTTATTTTTTTTTTGTTTTTGCTTTTGTTTTGCAAATATTGTATTTAACTTAATTCTTTATTATTTTTTATATATATATTTTTGTTTTATATTTATTTAATTAGCTTTAATCTTAATTGTAAATTCACATTTCAGTTTTAAGTAAGTTTTATTATTATTTAAGAAAATTTTAATAAATTCTTTTTAGATATAGTTACATATCGCTTACATAGAAAGAAAATAAACATAAAACTGATAGTCTATTCATTGATTAACAATTAACTAAAACACTTTTTAATGTGATCTTCTCACATCTGGTTAACAATAATTTTATTTTAAATATGAAAATTTGTAAATATTATTTGTAGATCAATAGTTTATATGTAACCCTTATAAAAATATCAAAATAAAAATCGCTAAGCTTTATGATTATTTCGAGATTCCTCTTCGGTTCGGTCCAAATAATTGCGAAGAAAGAGCGAGAGCGAGAGAGAGAAAGATGCAGATGCAGATGTAGAGAGAGAAAGTTTAAAGAGAAAACTAGAGAGGAAGCAGGAGTGAATAGAAAAGTTGCTTATATCAAAAGTAAACATATTTACTCCCCTCTTGCGTAAAGAAAACTGAAAAATATTTAAGTAACGGGTGATTTTTTTGAGGTTAGGATTTTCATGCATTAGTATTTGACAGATCACGTGGGATTTCAGACATGGTGTCAAAGAGAAAGATGCTCAGTATGCTTTGACATTTCATCATGAATAGACTTACTAACGAGCAACGCTTGCAAATTATTGAATTTTATTACCTAGAAAAGTTGGCAGAAAATCCGCTTTTTTATCGACAAATTTTGTTCAGCGATGAGGCTCATTTCTGGTTGAATGGCTTCGTAAATAAGCAAAATTGCCGCATTTGGAGTGAAGAGCAACCAGAAGCCGTTCAAGAACTGCCCATGCATCCCGAAAAATGCACTGTTTGGTGTGGTTTGTACGCTGGTGGAATCATTGGACCGTATTTTTTTCAAAGATGCTGTTGGACGCAACGTTACGGTGAATGGCGATCGCTATCGTTCGATGCTAACAAACTTTTTGTTGCCAAAAAATGGAAGAACTGAACTTGGTTGACATGTGGTTTCAACAAGATGGCGCTACATGCCACACAGCTCGCGATTCTATGGCCATTTTGAGGGAAAACTTCGGAGAACAATTCATCTCAAGAAATGGACCGGTAAGTTGGCCACCAAGATCATGCGATTTGACGCCTTTAGACTATTTTTTGTGGGGCTACGTCAAGTCTAAAGTCTACAGAAATAAGCCAGCAACTATTCCAGCTTTGGAAGACAACATTTCCGAAGAAATTCGGGCTATTCCGGCCGAAATGCTCGAAAAAGTTGCCCAAAATTGGACTTTCCGAATGGACCACCTAAGACGCAGCCGCGGTCAACATTTAAATGAAATTATCTTCAAAAAGTAAATGTCATGGACCAATCTAACGTTTCAAATAAAGAACCGATGAGATTTTGCAAATTTTATGCGTTTTTTTTAAAAAAAAAGGTATCAAGCTCTTAAAAAGTCACCCGTTACATGTATGCAACCCTGAAAGTTTTAAGGCGTACACGCATTTTAACTATATGGCAACGACATATAAAATAATATGTATTTATTTTTTTTTACAGTGTAAATCGCATCTATCGCTTTATTAAACAGCTCAGCATTTTTGAAAAATGCAGCTGACTTAGAAAAACACAAAATGACCGAGCGAACGGAAATAAAGGCAGCAATTACATATGACTATAATGAAGATGGCACGTATAAGACCACAAAACGATCACCAGATGAGCGATTGTGGGCACGGCGTCACGTCCATGCGATCCTCGTTACTCCACGCCTAGTTACGCAAACTATAATACGTATGTAGACAATAAGGTGGTCCCAATTTTCTTTTTTACCAATCACCCCCAGAACTGAAGATTATCGAAAATAATAAAGTTTCCGTATTTGGTTATTTTGAAATCGGTTAGCATTTAATGAGGCTGCCAGCGCTTTGAAGTTTCCCAAATATTGCATATTGTTAAGATTATCCTTGTTTTTTCGACGGATTTACTAAATCCTTAAAGTTCGTTTCACTGGATTGTTAAATAAACGCTCAAATTACGGTACAAGAAACACTTCACAATACTTGTTAAGGCAATTGATCTCTGTACTCATAACTTTCTATTTTACAGCTGAACCTTTTGCGCGCTGCTGCAACGCTTTTATACAACCGCGTTCGCACTCTTGGTTAGAGTTAGAAGGTTTTTATCGAAAGTTATCGATCATTCCATTTTCCGTTTAGCGACGTCGACGTTACATCTTTTATCGCACATTCTGTAATTCTCTTCATGCCGTTCAATAATATTATCGGTTAGAAAAAAATAGTTAGTGAAATTTTAAAGTTAAATATGCATCATATTAAATTTGTTTGAAAATTTCTGAAAATTATCATACTTTTCCTCAATCAAAATATTGTTTTTTCGCCGATTTTACAGTAGTTGCACAAATAAAAATCATTTCCCCCCTATAAAAAACATGGAAAACTTCAAAGCTCCAGCGGCACCATAAAATATTAACCACTTTCAAAAAAAAAAAAATACGGGTTTCTTTTTTTCATTTCATGTAATTCTGAGGTGGCAACAAGAAAATTCCATAAAATTTATTTTCTTATGTATTTTGGATCCACCTAATGTATATGCTACTTACATACAAACATGCGTACATTAGGATGCAACACATACAAAAAAGTCGATCCTGTTTTTTCATCGGAATTATAAAAAACCATTATATTTTAAAACTTCCACAAAAATATTAAAATTCACGTGAGCTGGGCCGATTTGAAAATACTTCCAAAATTCATGTTTTGTTTTTTTAAATAAAACTACCATTAAAAAATATTCTTCCAAAAAAATCACCTCAGATGATAGAATAGTTTAAGCTTAAGAATCAAAATAATGAGATTCTTGGATTTATTTTAAAATCGGTGGCAGAAGTTTTAAAATATATTTAATAAATTTTATAATTCCGCAACTTTTTTTGGTGAGGCACCCTAACGATCATGCACCAGTTGCATTTACAGTATGCGTACATACTTATGTTTCTACGTGTGATGACAAACATACATACTCGTATTCTCGTATATCAAACACGAATCTCCTTACTGTCCCATACTTGTATTGATCGCCAATAGAGCTTCGCACATGCCGCAATTTAAAAAATGCATGCATTACCGTTACAATCACAGTAATTTAATTCGCGTACAACCGTGCATCGAAAGTGGGACGAGATGAAATAACAACGACGAGATATATTTGTAATTTAATTTTCTATGCTTTGCTTTTTTTATTCTTTTCGGGTTGTTGTTGTTTTTTTATTTTCATTTTTTTTTCTATATGTTTCTGTTATACTTTTGACACAACTCCACGATTCATTCAACTTGCATTTTGATATTTCTTTGCTTAACTTTTGCTTGCTTTTCCTAAACCTAAAAGTTACGTTCCTTTTCCTACTCTGCCTTTTCTTCGTTTGTTTCTTTTTTCCTATTTGTATTGTTTAATTTTTTTTTCTAGCTGGCTTAATACGCTTTCTTCCTTTATTACCCGTAGTACAAATACAATGTTGTTATGAAACGTAACGTTGAGTGCCGGCACTTGGCCTACATATCTACTAAAACTCTGTGGACTTAGAATTATCCATTGATTGAATTCGCATTGGCGTTGGCATTGGCATTCGCCGCTGCAGCAGCGGCTGCTGACAATGATTTTTGTCCCTCCTCGGCTGGCGATGGCGTCGAGTCACGTCGCGGCGGCATACGCTCGTTCACCGCGTCCAGACCTTTGGCTTCGGCGAATGAAGTGATCTTGTGATTGGGCGAAAAGCCTTGCATCGCATTCTTCAATGACTGTTTGCCACCAGAGAGTGCACCCAGTGGCAGTGCACCGGTTGGTGTTAATCCCTTCAACTGCAATACCGACTCAGACTCTTCACGTAGCACTGAGAAGACGCGCGCCATTTTTCCAATCGCACGAATTTTATTTCGAATGACTTCTTTGCGTAACGCCGCCTCATCATCGGATAATGGCTCTTCACTCTCTTCGGTCATAAGTTCATCGTCCGAGCAAATATTCAACACATTCACCAACATCTCGGTCACTTTTTCGCCCACGAAGGGCAAAGACCAAGTGAATACGTCCATGAAATTCGGAAGCCAGTAGGGATGCGGTGAGCAGTTGAACTGCCTTATATTCATCACATTGTTTTCATATTTCAGTACTGCCGCTTTGTTGTTGTACACATCCAAGTAATTCGGTGCCGAGAAGATGGTAATTAATGAGGGGAACCCAGTGGTTTGACTTTTGCGATACATACGATAGCCGGCGTCCTGCGCCTCGTGTGCACGTATAATCGATAATAGATTGTTATTTTGCAAGAAGTCACAGCAGGCTGCATAGCTGTAGAAATATGAGCAGCCACGCACTGAGTTGTGCGAATAGAAGTCAGAATTTTTCTCATTGCCGAAATCTTCTAAGGGATCTGACCACAAAAGATCGCACATTGGACCGAATGCTGGTGGCTCTTTAAATCTATCCAAACGGCGTATATCTTCTAGCTCGTGAATTTCCGGGGACAAGCCACCGTGGACACACAGAAATTGTTGGTTCATTAGTGCTGCTAGCGGTAAGCAATCGAAAGCCTCCATGCATGCATCATACACACGTTCCGAGTACTTGATCTTGCATTCTTGCTTGAAGGTGAAATACTCTGTTAAGTGACGGCATTCGTGATTGCCACGTAGCAAAAATAATGTATTCGGGTAGGTTATTTTCAGTGACCACAAGTACAAAACACACTCAATACTAAAGTAGCCTCGATCCACATAGTCGCCAAGGAAGAGGTATTTGGTGGAGGCAGGCGACCCCCCCACTTCAAATAATTTCATGAGGTCATAAAACTGTCCGTGTATATCGCCGCATACAGTCACAGGCGCCTCAATGTCTATCATAGTTTTCTCTTGGCGCAGTAATGCAGCGCCTTCTTGAATTATTCGTAATGCAGGTGCCTCCTCTATGCGACCTTCAAGAATGAAGTGCTGTTTTAGTATGTCATGGTTTGGTTTACCAGTTCGCAGATCAAACACCTCTGCCATAGTTAACTTGTGGCTGGGTGGAAATGGAACATTGTCAATAACACGTTCCTTTGTATTGACAGCAGGTGTTTTCGCAACGCGTGTTGGACTATCTGCTTGCCCACCGGCAGCCGTTGTACCACTGCTGCTGCCTCCAGAAGTCTGGGTGTCTGTTGGAGCATTGCGTTGATCCGAAACGGCACTTGTTGCCCCACTTGCAGAAGCCGTCGTGGAATTTGGATTCGGGTTCACACCTTGACTGACGGTTGATTGATTATTCGAAGACATATTTTTATTTTAAACTGCTTTCACTTATGCTTCTTAAGATATTAATGCTCAAGATTTGAGCAGATATATTTGCCACTAGACTACCAAATAAAGGCTATATCTCTATCTGTATGGTTTATTTTGACGGGTGAATTTATTTTTCTGGTATATAAAATTCACTGTGCCTGCGTAATTTGGGTTTTATTGTATTTTTAATAATGTTTCGTTTATGTCCACACTATTTTTAGTTCCGTTTCTTTGCTATCCGTATACTCCTTCTTCAGATTTCTTTTTAACCACTTTCGTGCACTGCCTCCGTTTTTTCACTTGCTCGCCTTGTACCGTATTGCCTTTTTGACTATTGCTCGGCGCTGCACTACTGATTGCTCTTTGCCTTCTCTTTACTATCTTCTTATTGCACTCTGCCCACTACCAGGTTTTGCAAATTTTTTACTACCTTCACTGGCGTCGTAAATTCTTTATTTTTTTATGATATATTCATTATTGCACGTTTACTTATTGACTTTTCACAGTTTTATATAATTTTCTAAACAATTTTAACACTTTTTTTGTGCTAATCTGATGAAGTCCTAGTTGGTGAAAATTTTTTCGTTTCTCTTCTACTTGACAATCCAATACTGAAAGTGTTTCATGGTTAATTTTCTATTACAGGGTCGCATGTAATGTATC